CACCCAGGCGGGGGCAGTCATTCGATGATTTTCCCCCCTTAAAAAAAAAAAAAAAAAAAAAAAAAGTAAGGACTAGTAAGGATAGTACTAGCGACCCGCCCCGGCTTCACACTTAAAAAATACCTACTATAAAATGTCCTTATACACCATGTTCACAGCTATTTTGTCATTAGACAGTACAAACATGTTTTATATTGATATTTTCCTCGCTATAGAGCTCCGATAAACGCGTGCGATCGTTGCAAGTCATGAAGTGTTCTAGGACGAAGCGCGGCCGTCAACGCCGCAACAAATACGTCCTTGAATTTTAAAGTAATGTCTTCGGAAATATTCACTTAAATTACATGCTGTAAAAAGGATATTGATCTATGATAAATGCACAATTTATTTAAAGTACTTAATTGGATAAGGATTAATGCTGTATTGTTTAAAATCACTTCGTAAATAACCATTGATAGTGAAGGATAAAAAATGGTTATGGTGGGTTATCCCTAATAGATAGACATATACCATCGCAGACTTTTTCAAACCTCGAAAATTATCAGTGTTTCTCTACTATATTATGCTTGTATTAAGAATCACTCTATCTATTAAAAGAAACTGCATCTAAATCCGTTGCGTAGTTTCAAAGATTTAAGCATTTGAGAAAGGGACTTTGTTTTATACTATGTAGTGATGACTGATGAAGCACAAATTAATCTGACTAATTTGATAAAGAGGAAATTGTCACAAACAACTCAATTTATGATAAAGATAACACAATCATTGTAAATTAATAGATCCCCTTCTTATCTCCTCTATATAAGTTAGAGCTGATTTAGCTCTGAATTAGTGACAAGATTTGAGTGACAGTGAGCAGGGTTGAGTGACTTCCAGAAGAAACAAAATTTTTCCAAAAGTAAGTAAACATTCAAGTCTAAGTTTTATTCTTTCTTATTATCAATTTATAATGTGTTTCAAGGTCATCCTTGACCTTAAAATAGATTACGTCATCAGTGCTGACGTCATATTCTTTTAGTTAGAGAGATGACGACCAAAATTTTTGTCTCATAACAATACGGCCAAAACCGCCTCAAATCGATAGATACGATTATCCTGAACTCGAAAATACCAATATCAGACATTTTCCGTGTAGCGTTTAATCTGACCACAAAAACACCAGACAAAAAAATGTCTCATAGCAATACGTCTGAAAACCTTTTTATTAGTAAATTTTGGTTATTTGATGCGAACAAAACAATTTTCAGACGGAAATGTGAACGCATTAAATTTTGAGACCGTTTTGAAAATGTTAACAAATTTTATCGATCGGTATCATGGCAATATGTCTGAAAATTGTTGGACATGATAAAATAAGTTGTCCACATGTGTAAAAAATGCATATCAGACAAAATAAGTGTAGCACCTTCTCTATCAGACAACTTTTCGATACTCAGATATTTTTGACACAGCAGAAATGGCCTCCCACGCAGTTGCTACACTTTCGACCGTTACTACACACCTAGTCGGGTTCAAAATCATACAATTTAACGATTTTATTTAGGGTTTTTGCCGTATTGCTATGAGACATGGTTTTGGTCGTCATCTCTCGTACTATTTGTAGAACTGGTGCTTTATTTTATAGCAAACTGTGTTTGATTGACAATGCCTGAAGTTATAATTTAAATATTATTATATGGTACCTAAAAATAGGTACACAAAATTGCGATTTTTTTACTTATCTGATGCTTATCAAATTGAAATATCGAATATTTATAATCAGCTAACTAATTAGCTAAGTTCCTGCTTTGATATGTAAGATTTATTATCATTTAATTTTGCGTAGCGCTATATTTGCACGATAAATACGGCGTTATCGAATAATCGCTGAACATAAGACACCAAAACTTTTTATTTTTTTGAGAGGGAAAAATCATCTTATGGCTTCTTCTGCCCGAGTGAGGCGAGAGGGAGTGTCGGACTCTTACTAACTAAAAACTACCCTGTTCCTACTCTTACACTTCGAGCCGGAGCCCAGGCAACCCGTTAAGTACTTCGCGGCTCCGTATCGAGCATCAGCCCTGTTGGGCCCCATCTGTGGTGGTCTTATGGCTCCATGAGGCGTGCGCGGAACGCGACGTGCCGTACGTTCGGGTTTGGTTCTGATCAGGCGGCATGTCACCCGTGCTCGCCATCCGCAGGCCCGAGCTTACAGTGGCCGGAGATCGTCTCGCGATCGCCGACGCCCGGAGTGTCTCTTGCGACGGTTGGGGCGTGTGGAATTTCTGACCCTCACGCGCCGCGCCTCCTCCTTAGCTAACATGACTGCCTCGCAGAAGAAGCAGACGGCATCCTAGTCAGTCAGATTTCATTGCCGTAAGAAACATAATATGCTTAAAACTATAATTTTAGTTAAAATTTGCACGTGGTCTTTGCAGATGAGGAGTTTCATTATCATCGTGGTGCTGTCAGCACTCGCAGCCTGCTATGGTGCTGCTGTTCTCCCGGGCGAGGCGAACATGTTCTCATCTTTCATTCAAGAGCAAATGTTAGATGGTTGGACCGTGGAGAATAATGAAGAAGACGCGGCCCAGAACAGAGTCACAATGAGTAAAGGAGAAGCTAGGGACGATCTTATATTTTTATTTGAGTGAGTATTCATTAAGTTTATGAGTGATCTTACATTCCCAATTGTTGCAAACTAAGTAAATCACAATGCTTAATCATAATAACCATTCCGTCCGGGTAGATCATCGCTGACACGGCGACGTGGACGTTTAAATAAGACCTTAAATAATTTCATACTAACATTTCAAGATAATGATAGGTTTGTGAAAGGCGTTAAAAATGTTCAGATCTGCAGAGTAAAGGTCTCCCTACCGTTCTTCTACTCTTTGGTGGCCAATCCTTGTCGTTGGTGTCTCAAATTCAACCCAATATCCCATTCCGGGCTTACCTCGACGTCGGTTGGCGTCGAGCAGGCTGCGCTCAGTAGTGAGTTTCGCCCACCGTTCATGCGATATGTGGCAGAAATGGCGATTACAGTGTTAGGAATTAATATTGTGATAATATTTTCAGACGAGCATGCTACGTACCAGCCACACCGAACGACGTTGGGCGCTTCGACGTAGTATACTATGGTGAACCTAATGTCAGCATCAGGCGTTTCTCGATATCCTTTACCTGGCCAGTACCTGCTCACATCTATATTAGTGGACTATTAAGTAATGTTGGTCGTGTAAGACTAACATCCCATATAGGTGAAAGACTTCAGGCAGTTGTCAGAATATATGGTTTAATAATTGAGGATAACAATGAATCATAAGTTTTGAGATCATTCATTGTTAAACGACTTTAATCTCATGTTGCTTGCATTCCATTCTCAGAAACACTGGTATCCGAAAAATAAATGTTTTTAGAAAAAACTGTATTATTATTTCGTCCCATTAGTAGAATAATGTTCTATTTGCAAATTGTCGACTTTTCAGTAGAGCGATTATAAATTTCGCGCGCACATATTTGCTTATAAATCTGTTATAAATGATACTAGCTACTTAATATTTGTACAGTATGTACAGAAGTTAGTGCCGTTTATGATAATATAATTATTTGTTTTATAAACTATGCCTTTTTAAGTATAATGGGTCGCATGTGCACATAAAACGTTCTTTTGCCAAAAAAAATATTGAATGAGATGTCTTAAGGATACATAAAACAATATTCGACGAAACTATTCACGATACATCGGCATATCAAACATTATTTTACGAATTTTGGCGGTTATATCCGTGTTTTATATGAAACTGTAATACTAAGAAAGTAGAATTGGTTTTAAATTCATCATTATTACTGACTATTTTTATATATTTAAAAACGTTGGTGTTTTCTTAATCAATTTATTAGTCAATGTAGTAATCAATATACGAGTAAATTAAAAATAAATACAAACTGATTACATACACTATGAGGAATAACCTAATCAAGATATTTATTATAAAATTATTAAAAGAGGCGACAGAAAAACAAAATAACGCTCTTACAATTCTTACAAAATAAATACATGGCGATCCATAAGAAAAAAATATTATAGATTACTTAAAACTAACTATTGACTTATTTCTTTCTGTGGTTATTCTTATGAATAAATCAGTCCTATATAATTATAATATAAAGTTAGCTTAATAATAAAAACACAATAAATAATTATGGCACCATTGTGAATATATTAAAAAATATAAAAAATAAAAAATTAGTCTCAAACATAGAAAACAATTATGAAAACACTAAACTAAAGAACAAACAATATACTAACTACTAGTCTACTAAAGAGGAAAGATTTAAATTTTTGTTTGTTTGAATTGAATAGGCTCCGAAACTACGGAACGGATTTCAAAAATTCTTTTAGCGTTGGAATCTTACATACTACACCCCTGATAAGAAAAAGATAGGAACCGTGTTAAAATTTTGAAAATGTAACCCGATTTGTGAAAAAGCAACCATAAATATTGCTTAATCTATTGACTACTAATAGAAAACTGTAAAAGCAAATGCTTTTGTATTCTTTTGAATTCCTATCCCCAATCCTTTAAAAGAGCGCGAACGAAGCCTTGGGCAGAAGCTAATCCATTAAAATAACGTATTCATTTAATTGAATTAGAAAATCCCTGATCCTAATGCAGTTACATAGTAGTATTAGTCCTTGAAAACCCGTAGCATTTCATTTGTTTTAAGTAATTTTTAGTCCATCGAGGTCAAATTTACCATGAATGTTTGCCCGTCTCCTTTAGGTAATAGTATTAGAAGTAGCGTCTTACCGGTACAAATCAGGCCACATTATTAGTACCAAAGTAATAACCCGGAAGTCCCAGAATTAGAATATGTGCTATATCTCAGGACTCTATCTTTTAAACCACTGAACGTATTTGATTGAAATTTGGTTTACGGTTCACTGGCACTGAAACAATCACTGGGACAATCTATGGCTTAAAATACTGAACCTATTTGAGTGCAACTCTGTTGAAATTTGTACATTCGGACAATACCGTCTAGATATCATTACGTCGTGTTTTACTTAAATAATGTGATTGGATAGATGCAAATGAGTTCACTTGGTCACAACCGCTAGTGATCATGTCTTCTACGATTACCTTTTTTTAATTTTTGTGGCGGTCTCTGTAATCGTCTTCTACGACAGTGCTGTTGCAGTACTTATCTCATGTAGTTTTAACTATAGTTTTGTAGCGTATTGCGTCGCTTGCTCGTTATAATATGTATAAATAAAATTGCAATTCTTTGGTGTATCCTGATTCAAACATCTGTTTTTCGTCTTGGTGGTGTACTTTATTTCATATTCCCTATTTAATGCAAATTCTAACTCAAAGATCGTCTATTCCACTGGTACCACAAACTCACCAATTGAGCCTGACCTGCTCTTTCCCCATCGTTTGAGAAATCATCATTGAAAAAATTTAATAATAAAATTATATTGGATATAATTATTTTTCCTTTGATTCTGTAAAAGTAACAAGGAGTATATGCATAACATAATAGTTTAAAAAAAATTAGTAAAGTAAATGTATGTACATAACTTAGATATATGTAATTTGATGAGCGCTCGAGTGGTCTACTGTGGTAGTACGCACTCACTTTTTCACGTGTCACTGTTTAATTTTTTTTTTTTTCTATAAACTGGGAGTTTAAAAAATAAACTATTTCGATTTTTCTAATACAAAAAGCAAACATGTCAAAAAGGGAGGCGTGCACTCTTGTGTTTAGGTCCATTGGTGTTTTCAATGTAAACTTACATTAGTTACTTTTTTGCTATACCTACCTAGTACATTTAGTTGTTAATAGATTATTGAATAAGCTGTTCATATTTTAAATTAAATTTAACCATTTTATAGCAATTTTAAGATTTCGAATATTGTTTTATAATAAAACCGTTGGTAAAAAGAAGTGTCATTTGCATATACGGCACTCACTTTAATTATTTTTTTTGTAGAATAATGTTTTATGCGTACTTGCGGACGAAAAAAATATAAAATTTTACGTAGTAAAATGTACTAGGTTTATAAGAAACTGGAAAAATAGGGGAAAAAATAAGACAAGTCCTATTAGATACCGTTATGTTATATAAGTTATTATTAAAGTATTTAGTTCAGATTTAAGTTCTAATAAGTAAGCTTTGGTATTTCGTAAAAAAATGTTTTATGTGATTATAAATACTGTCTTTGTGGGAAATTTATAAAACGTAGTGTAAATTGTATCAAACCATTATATACAGCATATTTTATCAAATTTTGGGTATTCATTGTAACAAACACCACTCGCTGCTACTTCGTCGAACAACGTTACTTAGGATGAAGCGACACGGCACGCGCAGCTAATTGCGCAGGAGCAAGGCGGAGAATATTGTTGTATGTGATCATGCATAGTTATTTTACGTAGTCGGCGCGGATAAAACTTTATTCGAGCATTGTATCTTTTGAATTAATTGATTAAAATATATAAAAGTAGTATTAATCGATAGTTTACATTATAAGGATGACGAATTTAACATAATATGAATTTCGACACATGTGATCATAACACTTTATTCTTCCAATGGGACGATTTGTTTATAATATATGATGGCTTTTAAAAATATGTATATCAAGGACAAAGTTCTTATCCTCATAGCATGTATATATACCAAACTAAAGAAACAATTGGGCATATTTTTAACCGTAAGTCGGTTTTAAATATGCATTAAAAAGAAAAAGAAAGAGTTATTCAGTTTGACTGGTATTTATTTATTTATTTATATAAGCTTCATGCATAGATTGCACACAATGCCACAGGCATTTTCTCTCAGTCTGACCTTTGGGTAATACACTGAAGATTAAACGGTAAGAACAAGAACCAAGCAAAGATTTAATTGAACAAACGGAAGATATACTAGCATATTTCAGAGATAAACATAAATAAATATAATTATTGTGTAGAAACTCACGTACTTTCTCTTTAAATGTTAGATGAGTAGACACCATCCTGACATCCACAGAAAAATGGCCTGTACAAAAAAGGAAGAATGAAAGAAGTCAGTGCGATGAATGGGACATCAGAGAAGACGGTTATGAGAAGAAAGAAGATTTTCACTGTGGTTTGCGCATTCGTATTGAAAGTAAGGGGATAGATAACTGGGTAGAGAGGGTGAACAAAGAAAGGAGAATACAGTGGTTAGCGCCCTATTCTCCCTGCGCTGGCAAATGGTCAGCCACTTTAATTGCAGCCGATTGGCAGAAGCAACGTTTATATTTTCACAGGTTTAAAACAAACGAAAAGAGGGGGTTGAAGAAGAGGTTTTTGTAAAGGTACTTTATGAAAAAAATATTTATTTCTTGGTATCAAGTTCATCATCGTCCAAAACGTCCACTGCTGAACATGGGCCTCCCCCAATGATAGCCATGTCGTCAAGTTGGAAGCCACCTGCATCCAGCGGTTGCCTACAACCCTTATCAAATCGTTTGTCCACCTTGTGGGGGTACGTCCTACGCTGCGCCTGCCGGTTTGTGGTCTCCATTCCATAACCTGTTTGCCCCTGAAGTAGTATATGTACTTTAGTATACTTATTATACTCTAAGGGCAGTCTCTAATAAACGCTTAACAAAACCAGACGTGTTTCCTTTTGCAACACACACGCTGACATACTTCATGGCGACCCTGCCATACGCGTTCCGGGAACTCAGCTTGCGAGCTATCCGATAGCAGGCGCAAATTGCAAACTATGCGAATTCCTGTGTGCCTCGGTGCACAACTAGTTATAATGTTTAACGAGGTGAATAATAGAGCCACGAGTGTGATTGACTGTATCCGTGTTCAATAAGACATAAAAAGAGAAAAAATGGGGAAAAGTTACTCCAAAAGTGAGGAAAAGCACATTATCATTGCCCAAAACGGTTCTAAAGGCAATAATGGCGCGAGTGATACCGAACAAGAGTACCACATCAAGTTCAATAACATCCTAATTATTACGTTCCTGGTGCTGATGGCTATTGTTATACTTGCAGTAATTTATCAGAAATTGGTATCGGTGGTTCTCCAACCTTATGGATCCCGCGTACTGCCACTTCAGCTTATTAATTTACTGGGATTCTTTTTTTGTTTTTGAGCGGGGAAAATCATCCAATGACTTCTCCCGCCAGGGTGAGGCGAGAGGGAGTGTCAGATTCTTACTGACTAAAAACCCAGCACTTCGAGCCGGAGCCCCGGCAACTCGTATGCCCTCCGCAGCTCCGTATCGGCATTATAATTACTGGGCTATATTGGAGACATCTGTTTGTTTATAGACCTTCACATTTCTTATTCGATCTCATAAAAAACACCGAGCATATCCCTTTTTATAGTGCGCTGAATGACACTGAGTTTTCTAATAAGAAGAGCCCATAGTTTGATACCACGTTTCAGTTCCATATTATAATCACAATTCCATCGCTGGTAACACATACTGATTTTGATATTACGCTGAGTTCTATAAAATTAATGCACCGACATTAATTATAAACTATTTTACTTGAGTGTAAATTATGAGCATGGTACAATCAATGAATGAATAAATAATTGGCATATTTTTGTTCCTTATTATTTGCCCTGCACTCGGATTATCATGACTGGAAATAAAATAAACAATAATCATTGTTAGCTATAAGTTCTCTATCCTCTTCTTCTAAATGTATAAAACTCTGAGGACTGGGAAAGGACTCCAGAAAGACTGACTGACATAGTGATTTATCACCGCACAGCCCAAACCACTGTATGGATTGGGCTGAAATTTGGCATGCAGGTAGATGTTATGACGTAGGATTCCGCTAAAAAAGGATTATGATCAAGTCTTTCTTTCAGGGATCATATAGGAGGTGAACGTTTGAATGAAACTTTGTCCGTTTTTAACCCATCGGGCTGAGACTTTGCATGCATAAAGTTACTATGACGTAGCCATCCTCCATTCCACCCCTAAGGGGATAAAACAAGGGATGAAAGTTTGCATATTTAAGTTTGTAAGATTAAAGCTACTATAAAGAAGGTGTCCATTTCAGTAGGATTTTGGTAATTGGATTAAATAGGATAGGACCCGGGAAATGGTGTCTGAGAGATTTCAACCCGTAAATCCCACGAGAACGGAAACTACGCGTTAAAGCCTCGGGACTCCCTGTCTTTTAAACCACTGGATCTATTTGTGGGATATACAGTGCAACGATAGTTTAAGACCTCGGAAACGACGTATCTATGACAGCTTTTATCTCCAGGCATGGGAACTATCCGTTAATGCCTCTCGGAACCGAGACCCATGAGAATGTTTAGTTTTTGAAACCAAGATAATAAATTCACTTCACAATAAATATAACTTGGGCGTTTAATCGATCAACAGCACCCAGTGAATATAAATGATGAAGGACGTGATGTTCCTAAAGTTACAAAAAGAGAAGTAACCTACGACTTAATGAGGTGACTGTGCCTGGCGGGCTATTGCCAAACAGTTGTACTCAGCAGGCTCCTTTTGTGATATTCCTTCTAATTTTGTATAGCATAGCTTTTATTACTACTGCCAGAGACAGGTCTCGTCCGATCGATACAACCTGGGTACAACCTGGTAGTCTTCAAGTCTCGAGAGAACAGGTTTCTTATAGATAGGCGAACTTTATTGTAGGCCATATCGTCGCTTACCATCAGACGAGATAGCGGCCTATACATTATCAAAAAAAAATGTTATCTACGTTACAACCGACGTGGTTGTTGCAGAGTTCATCAACCAACTGACTGACGTAAGTAAAGATTAAAAAGTCCTGAGAAGGTTAATCCTGTCTCACTATACACTTGAGTTTATATTCATAAGAGTTTTTGACGATATTTCTATGTTCTTATATTATAAACAGAATATTAGAAAGAACAATGACGCTACACGAGAGCCGCGATATTGTAGAACATCTTGCAATAACAATTCTGCCAAACCTTTATCCGCCGCAATACAAAATGGCCCCGTATTTTTACCAGCTCTTCAACTTGCAATGAATGGCTGTATGTGAACTAAATTTTAGTCTAACCTACTAAATTTTGAAGTAAATATCTTCAACCGATTGAGTTGAATTATTTATAAGCCCCTGTTAAAAATGTTTCTAACTTCGGTTAGACGTAGTGTAATCGACTGATTTGTTTAATCCACCTAGACATCATCATCATCATTAACAGCCTTTAAATGTCCACTGCTGAGTAAGGCCTCTTCTTACATGGAGAAGGTTTGGGCATTAATCACCACGCTTGCTCATTGCGGGTTGGCGATTTCGAACTTATAATTATAAGCAAAGGTTTCCTCACTTAGTTTTCTTTTACCGTTTGTCAGTGGTGTCTAAATAATCTTAGAAAGTAGGCATATATAACTCGGAAAAGTCACATTGGTACTTGCCATTGGTAGGTTTCGAACCGGCACTCTCATGCATGAGAAGCAGACCTCGACATATAGATACTATATAGTTTCGCTAGGTTCCTGTTTCCGATTGGGCGGGAGGAAACGCCTGGGTGTCATCACTGCAAGGACACGGAGGACACGATGGAGCATACGGTGGCGGTATACCCTGCGTGAGCTGAGCTCCGCTGTGTCTTCAGGGATGTGGTCGACGACGGCGACCTCTCGTGTCCGGCTCTGGTTCAGACCATGGTACGGAGCGAGGGGGACTGGGATGCCGTCTCCTCCGAGTGCGAAGCAGTCATGCTAGTTAAGGAGGAGGCATAGCGCATGAGGGAATGCAGCCGCTGGGAGAGACACTCCGGGTATCACGAGACGATCTCCGGCCACCGTAAGCACGGGCCTGCGGACCCCCGATCAGAACAAGCCCCGAGCGTTCGTCGCATCGCGTTCTGCGCGTGCCTCATAGAGCCATTAGACCACCACAGATGGAGCCCAATAGCGCTGAAGCCGATACGGAGCCGCGGAAGACTTTATGGGTTGCCGGGGCTCCGGTTCGAAGTGTAGGAACGGGGTGGTTTTTAGTCAGTAAGAGTCTGAGTCCCTCTCGTCTCACCCGGGCGGGAGAAGGCATTGGTTAATTTTCCCCCCTATAAAAAGACATATTATAGGTACTAATTTGATAATGAGGATACTATTATTAACAGAAAAACATAATGATAAAGAGAAATCTAATAAATCTTATGATAGTGTATCAATAAAATTATAAGATTACTCGGCTTATCTTTTCTAATATAAGTCATAGCTAGATCTATTATGAATTAGTGGCAAGATTTGTGCGACATTGAACTGCGAATTCAAGAACCGACACAACTTTTCTAAGAGTAAGTAAACATTTAAGTTATTTAATTTTATTCAAATATAATAATTTTTTATTGATCCAATTTCTAAAACAGATTATCTTAACTGCTGTTCAGGCTTATTAGATATACAACAAAAAAGTTTAATTCTAATTCGTTCGTTAGTTCCGGAGATATGAGTCGAGTGTTCTAAGTGTGCCATGATTTGACAGAGTCATGTTTCGGCACGAATAGGCCGGCTCAGCCCAAATGATACCACGGCCTCATAGAAAACCGACGTGAAACAACACTTGCATTGTGTTTCGTAGTGTGAGTGAGGTTACCGGAGGCCCAATTACTCCAATCTTCCCAATCCTTGAATCCCCAATAATCCTCATACATAAAAAGTGTGTGCAAAATTATGTACTTTAATAAAGTTCCCTTATCGCCCTAGCTTAGTTTTTCTTTTTAAACATATTCAATTATTTGAATTACAATATGTTTTGATTTCTTAACTAATCTCAAGCCTGTCAAGTGTAATAATTAGACAAGATTTAAATTTAATTAGTAATACTGCGCCGACATTTGAAAAATACGACTTTTCGATTTCTGAATATGTATAAAAAAACTATAAAAGTGATCATGCGCACGTGGTTCTTGCAGATGAGGAGCTTCATCATAATCGTGGTGCTGTCAGCACTCGCAGCCTGCTATGGTGCTGCTGTTCTCCCGGGCGAGGCGAACATGTTCTCATCTTTCATTCAAGAGCAAATGTTAGATGGTTGGACCGTGGAGCACAATGAAGAAGATGTGGCCCAGAACAGAGTCACGCTGAGTAAAGGAGACGCCAGAGACGATCTTATATTTTTATTTGAGTAAGTATTCACTAAGTTTGTAAGTGATCTTAGATTCTTAATTGTTGCAAACTAAATCGCAGTGACAACTCCTTCGGGGTAGGTCATCGCTGACGCGGTGATGTGGTCGTTTAAATAAGATCTTAAATTATTTCATAGTCACACTTCAAGATAATGTTATGTAGCTTTATTCAGCACTGCAGACTAAAGGTCTCCCTACCCGCTTTCCACTCTTGTCTGTTCAGACTTTTGTGGCCAACCTGCGTCGTTGGCGTCAAATCCATTCCACTCTCTCCTTCTGGGCTTACCTCGATGTCTTTTGACATTGAGACAGACATGTGGCGGACATGGCGATTGCAGTGTTAGGAATTAATATTGTGATAATATTTTCAGACGAGCATGCTACGTACCAGCCACACCGAACGACGTTGGGCGCTGCGACGTAGTATACTATGGTGAACCCAATATCAGAATCAGGCGTATAACGATTTCTAGTAGCTGGCCCCCACCTGCTTATTCTCATACTAGTGGGTTAACGACGAATGTTGGTCGCGTAAGACTGATATCCCAGATAGGTGAAAGACTTCATGCAGTTGTCAGAATGTATGGTTTAATAAATGAGGATAATAACGAATCATAAGCTTTGAGATCACTAATACTGGTATGAATTCTTTTGTTTATTAAACGGTTTTTTATTAAACAGTTTTATTATTATTAAAAGGTTTTATTTAGCTCACCCCGTTCGTTTTATTTATTATTTATTCTTGGGTCAAATTTAGTAATTCAAATTTCACCCTCTTCCTGTCAACCGATTAATCTGAAATTTTGTATACACTTTGGATTTAGGTGACAATACAATTTATGTTTATTCGTTATTATTATAAATTCAAGATGGCCGCCGCTACCAAATGGCGGATAATTTAAGTTTTATTAATCCCATCAATATGGGTATCAAATGAAATTACTCAACCAGTAGAATACAATATACTATAAAAAATTGAAATCCAAGATGGCGGCCGCTACAAAATGGCGGATAACATAGGTTTTATCAATCTCATCAATATGGGTATCAAATGAAAGTACTCAACCAGTAGAACACAATGTACTATGCAAAATTGAAATCTAAGATGGCCGCCGCTACCAAATGGCTGATAACAATTTTTTATCAATCCCACCAATATGGGTATCAAATTGTAACGTTGTATCTTGTTTGCCCTAAAAATAGCTTCGAAACCATATAAATTATAAATAATTACAATAGATTATTCTAAAACTATTATTAAAATACACTAAATAAACAAATAGAAACACATCTTACTACTTACTAATTTAAAACGCATTAAAATAATTAATTTTATATAAAAACATTATGGAACCCAATATTAATTGTTTACACAAAGGTCCTCGCTTCTATTGCGCCTACGCATCTCTAAACGAGTTAATAACTAGTCATGTCGGCTCGTCTCGAGCGCATTCGTAAAATCCAACGAACAGTCAACTTAAAGGCATCAGAGGTGGCGGCTGTGTCACTCGATCGCGGACGACCTACGTTGCAAGATCGTACTTACCTACCTAGCTAAATCTACTTCAAATCAATTATATAAATTGTAATCGGAATCCCGCTGGGGTAAGTTTCCATGTATTGCTTAAGTGTTGATATTGTAAGGTGTTTCTTCTTCTTAATTTCGCGCTAGCAGCGGCTATTCCTTTTTTTCTTTGTCTGCTGGGACACTGTGACCTTTGGACCCGGCTACGTGGTCCGAGCTCTGCTAACGCTTGCCTTGTGTCTGCGCTTCCAGGATTTTTGTTCTACAATTGACCTCGCGTCGCAGCCATCTACCTGGCGGATTTACGTTCTGCTTTTAACCTCGCGTCACAGCCATCTACCTGGCGGCGAGTGGAAGACCAGACCTCCTTCTACCTGGGAACTACCTAGGCCCTGCTGAAGACCTGGAAGTGCATTTGGAACGAGACCGGACCGCCTGCAGAGCTACTCCACGGTTCAGGCCAGTGTTCTCAGCGTACCTATTACCCCGAACCTGGACGTGATTGGGGCAACAGATAATTGGCATTAACTCGTCGAGTACCGTCATTATAGACACAATTATAGAACAATAGGTTGCGGTCATCGGTGACCGCTTGGTGTTTGACAGTTTAATAGAGTGAACTACTTCTAAAAAAGTGTACTTTATTTGGACCCCTACCTACCTACCTGCCGCCCACCTGACTCCTACAGGAGGCTAGGTGCCGCAAAATAAAAGGGCTTGACAAGAAGAATACACTATACGATGCACTATACGACCTCAATATTTAAGATGGGCGCAGCCACTAAATGGCGTATAATAATAAGATTTAAATTTAGAAATTGAATCTGTAATTTAGATATCTGATTAATCCAGCCTGAATCCACCACTCAAGTCAAGATTTTGTATCGTATTGAGGACTGTGTGGCGTTAGGGTGGCTAAAAATGATACGTCGTTAGCGGTACACCACCCAAGTTAAGGTGAAAGGTTAAAATGTGGGAACAAGCTAGCAAGCTCGATTATAAGCGAGTTTTAGGGTTTCATAGTGGTGAGCTAATTGACGTGCCCAACGGTTTTATTTTAGTCTAGTCTATGCATATGTTTAAAATTCCCACGACTGTATCTATTTTATTATTTTTTGATTTTAGTACATTTATCTTAAACATTGCAATGTATGTTTAACATAAAACCGTTTAACTTAAAACGTTTTTTTACCTATTTTTATTTTCTAGTTTTTAGTTTTATTTCGCATTCTGTTTTGTTATCCTAATCAAGTTCGTACAGGTACAACAAGATGCGCCTGAGTCTTGAGGAGAAAACGCTAACGACATATCATTTTATCCACCCTAATGCCATACAGTTCTCGGCGAGTTTTAACCTTTCACCTTAACTTGGTTGGTGTTTGGTTTAACATAAAACCGTGTAACTTAAAAAGTTTTTTACCTATTTTTATTTGTTGATATTATGCTGGGCCTTGTATATTATTTTACTCTAGTGTAAATTAAGAACATTGTACAATAAATTAATAATTAAATAATTGATTTACTGCATACTTACTTTTACTAACGAACGTACGACCAAACGAGGTGAACGTGTCTGGTGGGCTGTTGCCCTGTTACGGAAACGTTAATGCATTGAAATCTGAGTGTATTGTCGACGTACATTTTTTAAGGGCGCAATCATCTGATTACTATTTCTTACTAAAAGCCCCCAAAGTTAAACCCCGTTTTATCTTATGGTCCGAGCAGGGGCCGCGGTAACTTATTGTGCTTCATCCGCAACCCTGGCCGGGCATCGACCCTAGTGGGTCGTATGGAATCTGAAACTTAGTGTAAAATGTTTGGCAATAGCCACTAACTAATGTTACTAGACTTAGTAACACAATATCATCCATGTAACTGATGCTATTGACGCAAATGTTATCTATGTTACATCTGACGTGGCTGTTGCAGAGTTCATCAATCAACTGATAAACGTAAGCACAGATTAAATAGTCGACCCTCCTTGTTTCACTCTACATTCAAGCTTATGGTATACTCATCAGAGTATAAGTTTCCTTAACAGACATTCTATTGGTTATACCAAAAAGATAACATATTTTTATGATATTTTTATTTAAAAGTCATCCAATTTCTGCTCTCGCTTATAATGAAGCGAGAAAGAGTGTCATACTCTTACTGACTAAGAATCACACATCCCACTCATGCTTCAAGCCGGAGTCCCGGTAGCTCTTTAGGTAGTCCGCAGTTCCAAAGTTGTCCGCAGCTCCGGATAGACGTTTATAATTTGTTACTCTACTCTTTTTCTATCTTTTCACATTAAAAATCATTAATCGCTTTGTCATCATCATCACAACAGACACTAGGACACTTCTGAATATAGGCCTCTCTTAAAATAAAAGGTGATCCTATAAAATACCTGCATATATTAAAACTGTTTTTTGTAGAATAAGCCGGTAAACGAGCAGACGGGTCACTTGATGGTAAGCAATCGTCGTCGCCCATGGACACCGAAATATCAAAGGCGTTACAAGAGTACGTTGCCAGCATTTTGGTAGTTATGAATTTGAGGATTGTTGGGGATTGGAGAAATTGGCCAATTTCATAAATATATTTTATTTCCTAAAAGAAAAAATTGTAACAGTGGACGCTACGGTAGTTACTCTGTTGCTACGAGATTGCTACGGCGTAGCGCTACGATTAAAATAGCGTATCATATTTAGTAATTATGCTATCAACCCCTGGTATACCGGAGACGCGCATATACGCAGAAGCATAAGTCGGCAGATAAGGGGTTAAGTCAACGTCAAAGCAATTACATAACATAACATCACGCCTTTTATCCCCGAAGGGGTAGGCAGAGGTGAACATTATGCCACTGTACAATGTAACACCCACTTTTCACTATTTATGTTATGAGTCCCATGTAATAGGGGGTGAGCCTATTGCCATATACCGGGCACAATTCCAGACTCCGTGCTACTACTGTGATTTTTTTAAAACCCAGTAATGCTTTGCCCGACCCGGGAATCGAACCCAAGACCCCTCGCCCGGCAGTCGCACTTGCGACCACTCGGCCAACGAGGCAGTCAAAGCAATTAATTTGTTAAAATCCTTGATAAATTACTTTTGACACGTCGTCGTATTGAATTGTTAGTGAAGCTAGGTGCTCATTTCAAAGTGTAGTTTCGAATGAAGAAGAACGGGCCAGAAACATAAGAAAAAGTGTATTATACAAACTAAATAAAAGTACGAATATTATATAATTAACATTACATCGTTGTATCCAGCAGAGAAAACTGATGGCTTGCATACCGCTCGAGAGCTCGACGCTGTGCGGCTCGATCCCTAGACACAATTACTTTACCAAACGCAAATATCAGTTTGTCGAATGTAAGATTGTCCGTAGTGGAGCTTACGCTGTAACTGTAGAGCAGATGGTCAAAATTAGTTTAACTCGTCGAGTACCGGTTTTGCAGACACAATTATAGAACAATAGGTTGCGGTCACCGGTGACCGCTTGGTATTTGACAGTTTAAACTTCTATTATAAAAGTATAAAAAATTGTAAGTTTCGTCCGCAGTGGATTCCACTTGCGCGGTGCGCCGTGACTCAGGACTCAGCCGAAGAGCCCCTCTGTGATTCGAAACTGGTAGAGCTTTTATTATTGAATTTACATGTGTAAACCGATATTTTTAGTTAATTATACAATTTTATATAGGAAAACGGTGTTAAGTGACAAAAAGGCAAATAATGATCCCAAAGTAAGGAGAATGTAGAGGTTTCTTAGGTATTTCGCTTGTAACCGTTACGTGTGGTGTTATTATCGGTTGATTTTATTGTTAAGTCTTTTATGTAGATTGCCTTAGTCACAGACTCACAGCCCATTCGTTGACTTTTTTATTCTCTGATTCGACTAGAGTTAATGGGGTGTCTAGGGGACAGATTGGATCGACGAATCACAAAACGGCTTTGACGTTTCAGGGGACCCTTATCTTACCAGTCGTTATCGATGTCTTAACTTCGTCCATCACTGACAACAGGAACAAAATTTTTGTGATAAGTGAAAACAATCGCATATTATCTACCTCATCGCATTAAAACAATGACGAATGCTATAATTAACCTAATTTGCTTAACTTCTGTCTAGGTGGCATCAGATAACAGGAAGGAATATTAATTTGTAATTGGCACCGAGGAAAGAATTACTAAAGATACCGGTATGTTATCAGATAGTGGTATTCGGTGGGTTTATCTTCTTTTTGATCGTCATCATCCAAGCTGCAAAGATGAGTGATTTGATGAATCACTTATGTATGTATATTGCACAATGTTTAATCATGTCACAATAAATTGAGTGTTGTCTGGATTTATATTTTTAGAGAAAAGAATGTAGGAACTAGACCCGAGCATACGGTGTATCCGTATTCGCGTTAGGCAAGAGAAGTAATGAAATGATCTTTCCTCTTCAAAAAAGGCTTAATCATTATCATGAGTATGGTACGCCATAAAGCGTTTGTCATTTAGAGGTCCCGTAACGCCAGACGGAACCTAACGCCGGACACTTGTATTATCTCGATAACTACCTCTAATAACGCGAGCGATTTAATTTTTAGGGAGAAGTCTCCCAGTGGCAGACTCCTAAGATTTTTATTAAAAATTGAATCGCTCGTGTTATCAGGATTATTTTTCTTCTATTTTATTTTATTGTGCATCTACCACCCATTCCCAGATTCTTTTCAAAAATTCCATCCAAAGGTTGTCTGGAAGAAATCGCCGCGTGTGACCGCCCATTGTACTCAAATTACTATTGCAATGTTAACAATTTTTATTTTCTGTGTGTGCAATGCAATAAAGTATAGAATAAATAAATAATTCGTTTCAAACAATGTCAAAATACAGGTATTAATATGTATAAATATATAAAGTATAGGATAATTGTGATTTCAGATCATACAACCATCTAAATATTATATGACTATTTATTCATGAATCTGTACACAAGGCAGTTAATTCTTATATTGGTTTACCTATTGTAAAAACTTTTATAAAATTCAACTTATGCAGATGAAAAGGAACTGTGGCCAATCGCCTTTTTTAGGTCTGCAAAGATACGTAGAAAGTTGCATCCGTGTTGGATGGCTGCTGTACGTTTACCGTACCGCTGATTACAACTTGCCTGACGTGCCGCTGCAGTAGTAATAGTATTTTTTTTTTTTTTTTTAAGGGGGGAAAATCATCAAATGACTGCTCCCGCCTGGGTGAGGCGGGAGGGAGTGTCAGACTCTTACTGACTAAAAACCACCCCGTTCCTTCTCCTGCACGTCGAGCCGGAGCCCCGGTTACCCGTTAGGTTCTCCGCGACAGTAGTAATAGTATAGAGTCGTTTGATACCAAACGTCTAAGTAGGCTATTCTCCAACTTTATTTTAATGTTCTTATATTATCTGATTATCAAGTATAATTTTTATTTCAACAAAATATGACCGATTTATGCCGAAAAAAAAAATCAAAAATGTGTCGTAAAATTTACGCTCCAATACACGGACCGCCATTTTGGTGACATCAGTAGCATGAAAATATTGAAACGTCAAATGGCCAAGCTATAGATTTTGTAAACAAGTTGGTTGCGTTGTGATTTTGTTGTATTTATAAATAAAGATGAGTTTCAATAACCCGTATCGTTGGTGTGTTGCGTTAAATTGCAAGAATTCTACATTAAAATTTTATTTATTAAATACAAAAGTAGTTAAAATTTGACTTGACAAGAATGCTATTGTTTACTATATAAAATATGTTGATACTTCCGACGTCAATCTCGAGAAAATCATGGCGGACAACGTTTTTGGTCACGTGACATACAGATAATAAAACTTCGATTTTAACTTTAAAATGTTGTTAACTTTTTTTTAATTTCTCATGTTTTAAACTATACAAATAACATAACGTTATAATTTATTGTTGATAGATGAGAATACCCCATTGCAGGAGCCTAAATGAACATGATGGCATGCTTTCTGCGCTGAGACGTTACTAAACAGAAACCGAAATTTGGCATCGTCAGGTACTAATTGGCTCCAATTAATTTTCTTATCTGAATTTTGAGCCAATCAGAGTCATTAAGATTTTGTAATCTTTTTGTAATCTTATTATTGACATTTTGTAATCTTATCGATTTAAGCTTGAATATAGAAATGGCAATCGATATAAGACTCTCATCAATCAATGAATCGTTTCAGAACAGGAGTGTTAATAATTTTTTTTTATGACCCGTGGCAAAACAACTGAAAGGAGAAGAGCAAGAGGACGATCCTCAACCAGATAGTCTAACCAGCTCAAGGACAACCTAGCACTGAGGTTTATATCACAATACAAATGGCCATAGGACGGGAGCTGATGAGAACAATTTTTCCGATCTAGAGCGATGAGACCAAACACTATCACTTCGGGCTGGTTTGATAGCCGGATCATTCATATCTAAAAGCACGGATTTACCACATGTAAAATGTTACGGTTCACTCGTTTAACAGTAAAATCCAATGATAAAATACATATGTAGGTATCATAAATCACTTCGTAAGGGGTTTAATTCTTCCTCCGATTAAGATCGCACTGTTGTCATATTATAATTAATGTTTTTCTATAGATAATGAAATATCTATGTATCTTATCATGAGAATAGATATATAAGTCACAAATTCAACTTTTAAGGCAATTAAAAACCTTTGAGCTTCAAGCAACTGGCTGGCTACCGCAAATTTTCGAAGGTTATTTGAAAAATATTGGTTAAGTTATGTTTAAGGTATATTCTTATTGATTTTTTTTTAAATCTACAAAATAGTTCCTTGGAGATTTTCTCACTGGTCTGAATACTATCTGTCTTATTATCTCATTGCAATTTTCTACTTCCAAACAGAGATCACTGACCATTTAGATAATAAATAGAACCTTAAAATGTTTAACTAAGTAAATTATTATGAGAACTACTGTTCATTCTCTGATGTGGTCCCTGGTGGACCCGTGGGAACAGTAGAGCTGACGTTTGATGACAACAGAGTAAAACATGATTGTAACTTTTCAAAGTTGAAAAGAAACCCAACTAGTTCTTCCATCAGTTTCACTGTTCTGGTTATTTTGTCGATTCAGACAACTACATGCCGTTGAGTGACTGATCGTGACTTTAGGTTCGGTGATTCAAAATTTTAGGTAAATGTGTAAAACTAGACTAAAACCAAACTTTATGAGGTCACTAGTATGAGGTATCTAATATAAACGGGTGCCGCACCGTTCAAGTATTGAAAAGTCGTTGGATCAATGTGTAACAAGAGACGACGCGCTGTTTCAGATGAAGGCCTTTATCATCATTTCATTGCTGTCAGCACTCGCCACCTGCCGTGGTTCGCCCATCCTCCCGAGCACGACACGACGACCGGAGGTACCACTGTAGTGGATAATACTGATGAAGTGGAGATCCAGAGATTCTTGTCCATCTATCCAAGATGCCAGACCACAGAACTAGTACTATAATTCAAGTAAGTAGGAAGTAAGCGTGTGTTTTTAACGAGCGTACAGCGCGACCTTCGCCGTTTGTCAGTTTGAATACACTAGATGAACAACTACTGAAGACTTAGTACGAGTTTGTTTTACATTTGAGATTTTTTCAATAACCGTTCATTGCACTATGATACACAAGTGTACAAACACAAAAGAGTGTGTCACAGCACAAAAGGCTAGTTAGTGCTTAGTTTAATACTGTGGGGTGGACACAAAGGCTCGAGCCCATGCCACTAATTTTCAGCAGCAGCCAGTACGTTTCATACACATGTCAATGTTATGTTAATTACATCTGTTATCGTATGTATGCATTTGGTCACATACATATACTTTACAAGCATACCAGACTTCCTGCACATTTGTTTACAGATTTTTTTATACATTTCAGGAAGAAGTTCTACGTGCCTGCGGTTCCCAGAGAAGTGACAACACATCAAATTGAATACATTGGCGGATAATAGTAGGTTGATCTATTGCCATTGTACACCACAGCTCTTCAAGCTTCTTTAAAACAGTCAAGCTTAATAAAGTTGGTAATGAAATAAATTTCGTACTCAAATACAATACAGATACAACTTTTATGAAATGATTAGACGGTTAACTTCTGTAAGAATCACCTCTTTTATAATTATAGACGACACATTCAATTTCGGACCAAAATTAACCATTTTAAAAGTTGAAACTAGCTTCATCAAGCTTGTTTCAATTAATTGATTGGTTCTTTAGATAATGTTTCTGTTGATAATAGAAAATAAATAATGTTGATTATAGAATTATCAACAGTTTTATGTTAAAATTAAATAATAACGGTCCCAAATGGGGCCTTGCGACACTCCAGATGTCGTGTGGAATATACCCGAACTGACCTCATTTACAATAAAAAAGTAACAGCGTTTACTAAAGTAAAACTCAAACCATTTTAAAACCAAAGCACATTAACTTCATCAGAAAAGCTTCGAATTAAAAATCTTCAGTCCCTCTTGTCAAATGCTTTGCAAAAATTGGTGCACCTAAACTACATCCACTTGACGACAATTATAGGTATACGCAATCAATTAATTGTTCAGTGAACGATAACAAGTTTGAATTAGGTCATCAACCCTGAAATATTCTACACTGTTCACTTGCAATTAACTCTGAATCTGATCTAAAGATATGGATAAATTAATGCCTACAACTTTATTGCAAAGACCTTATTATTTAGTGTATAGAGTACAGATTACAGTAGTAAAAGGTTTCTTATTCTTGTTATCATCTCTAAATTTTCCAGTAGCTAGGGACCTTCCCTAGTACTTCGACGTCGCATATTAAAAGATCATAATCACTGTAATCATAGATTTTGGATGATGATAAACTTAATCTTAAAATATAAGTAGCTGTGTTCATTGTATGAAGGATCAAACAGTGGCCAGGTGTCGGTGAGTTGGAATCTGCAAGTTGGAAGAAATCACATTATATCAGAGTAAGTGCATATAAATTATTATTATTTTCTAGCTTTTAGCCTTAACTTTGCTTCTGTGAATAGGCCATATTTTATTCTCAGTACTCCTAACTCTACATTATTATGTGTGCTAAGATTTCTTTCGCATTTATCATTGTACTTTGGTACATACATAATTATGTATTACATTATGCTAATACATACATAAATTAATGGTTTTACCTCATTAACGTCATATGAGGCAATAAAGGATATCACCTACTATTATAATTAGTATACTTTTTAACTGCTGTCACTTTAATCAAGTTTTTCACTCATTTTATCAATTTCGTACTCAGTTTTTGTCACTAAGTTGTAAATATTTTTGGCCCGAAAAGTCTCCCTATTGAATCATTTCTAGGAAATGAACTTACGTATTGAAATTTTCTCTCATGATACAGTGGAATAATCTTATTCCTTCGTGGCTGTTACAGATGAGGAGCTTTATCATCATCACAGTGCTGTCAGCACTCGCAGCCTGCTATGGTGCTGCTGTCGTTCCGAGCGAGGAGATGTCTGAAGGCTGCACCATGATATTCGACGAAATGTCACCCGACGGAAGGATTGTGCCTAACGCAGAGCTTAACGCTAAATCTAGCGAATGGATATTGATATCCGAGTAAGTATTACTCAGATGCTATGTACTTAATTTTCTCGTTAATCGCCTATTTATTTAGGGCCGAGAGGAACTTCGATCAGGGTGCTTACTTTTGAAACCAATCTCAACGTCAATGCAATTGCAATCCAATAAAATCTCAATAATTTTTCAATGTCCCTATCGTAGCTGTTAAAATAGCATCCAGAGAACGGAATATAAAGCCAAACTCAATACCATTTAGTTCATTCAATATCCAAGAAATAAGGATGCAATGGGCGCCAGTTTTGAAACTAAAAAATACGAAATTTCACAATATGTCGATCGATCGGTATTGGATTCAAGAGTAAGCCCACAGGTCGTATTATGTTACAAACTGAATAATACAACTGCTCACATTGGTAAGATAGAAGAAAAAGATTAATATATTGATATTATTTTCAGGGGAGTAGTGAACGCCCCAGCGGTTCCCGGGCAAGTCCAGCGTGTTGGTACATGGCATCAGGCCGATCTTGGAGTCCGTATAGAGAGACTGGCATTATCTTATGGCGCATTTCCTGCTGATGTTCAACACACTCCCTTGGGAAGTAATTTCTTGGAAGTCAAGATAATATCAGCTCTTGGTCAACGAGTAGCGGCAACAATTTCTGTATACAGGAGAGGGTGTTGCTAATTCGGGCTCGTGAACATTTCTACTACTTTACAGTCTGCATGAATATTGTTATCCGAAAAGAAAAGTTGGTAAATAAACGTTATTATTGAAAGGTTGAATCTTTATTTTATTATATGATTGTTATTTAGTCAATGC